TACTTAATAGCATGTAGCATTTAGAAAATGCATTTCAAATACAGTGTTTTGCTGCCAGTTCCCAGAAAGAACATTGAATGTTCACGCAGAATGTGTGAACATCCACAAAGACAGATTTAAACAGCGAAGCTAAGCTACATGATACATCTGCCTGCAATGAAACACCATTAAAAAGTAAATCCTGTAAGTCTGTAAGCACCTGCACCCAACAGCCAGACTGCACTGCAGCCCTGCCAGCAGCCACAGAAATGAGGTAAGAGCACGTGTTCATTGAACAGTACCATATTTCAATGCTGCTGTGTAGGATTTTCCAGGATGAACTTTATGTCATGAACCCTTGAGAAAAGTTTGTAGAGCAGAACAGGCTCAGTTTGGGGAGCCCAGCCCAGCCCTCTTCAGCTTCTGGGCTCATCTGGCTCTGGTCTGTCTTCCCAGCAGCGCAGGACCCAGCACTTGCTGCTGATGTAGGGGTCCCTACCTCAGAAAGAGATCTCTACCTCTCTCTCTTCCACTTCTTAAGACAGCAAAAAATGATATGGCTCTGCCACATCAGCTTCCTTCAGATCCCTGGGAACTCTGAGAAGGTTTGAGGAGGACAGGAGGTCTGCACTGAGGCAGATGGCCTCCTTCGGATGCAGACAGCAGAAAAAGCTCCTGGAGAAGGGCCAGAGTTCTGCATTAATCTGGTGACCTGACAGTTTCATCAAGCAAGGACTTACTCTGGAAATAAAAAAAGTCTAAGTCTCCTTCTCTCCTCTGCCCATACCACCATCAAAAACTACTTCACCAGCAGAAGCAGCAGCTGCCCACACAGGGTGGGACACACTGCTCTCACTGCCCAGCCACAGCCCCACTGCAGGCCTGCTGCAATGCTGACCCAGGGCCAGCAGCCTGCCCTTGCTGCCACCTGCATGGCAGTCTCTGCTCTCCAAGCCCATTCTACATTATATCTGCTTCTGGACTCAACGGTCCAAACTCCCAAAGCAGTTGTTGTTAAACTAACAGCCCAGCAAAGCCCCACATAGGCAGAAAAAGCAGTACATAACATACCATATTTTATAAACTTTAAGAAGTGATGTCAACACTTTCACTTCAGTTCAGCTTCCTAAATTCACATAAGTTGATCAAAATATCTACTACTTATCTACCAAAATAAAACCAATTAAACTTTCCAGTGCTGAGAAGATGCCAAAAATCAAAACATTGGCTTCCTTGGAGTCTTTGTATTTTTCACCCCCTCCCCCCCCCCCCCCCCCCCATTTTGCTGTATGCCACAATGACTATAGGGGATACAATTAAAACATAAAAGCTGAGAAAGAATAAAGTTAAACTGCATACCTTCCTAGAAGGAGATTAACTATCTTAATTACTTGAGAACCTCAACAGAAAAGAAATAATAATGTAAATTTCCATAGCCCTGGACAGGCAGACCTTGCGGATATTAGTACCACTGCTGCTCAGAAGTCTACCAATGATCTCTCTCACTTGTCACACATTCCTCCCTCTCACACTTGATCCTTCTCTGACATACACAAATACATATTACCCTCAGCAGAGCCTTCTAGCCTTAGCAAAAGCTTATAGTCTCCCAACAGTCTCACGCAGATGACAGTAGTGACATACGTTCCTGTTCCTACAAGACAAGCTGCTAGCATTTAGTCCTACAGCTATACAAGCTTGGGTTCAAGAGCAGGGCAGCGAGACTCACAGTGTTTACCTTTCTTCAAAATTTTCTTTCCTCAACATTTTCCAGTAACTTTCAGTTGTGGTAGACAGCAAGAGAACACACACTGAAAATGCAGTTCATTAACAAAAGAGAATGACAAATTCTAAATAATAGATGCAGTGACTTGGGATCAATTCCTGGTCCCTTTTCTCGGGAAACATTTAGATGTGTAAACAGGATGTGACTGAAATACTCATTATGATTGGAGGAGTGTCTTTTGATTAGAAATGTTCCTAAAGAAGCATTTGTAACTTTTCTCATCTTCAGGCAAATCTTCAGCATGCTCAGATCAGCTTGCTACCAGGACATGTAGGGGTTTCCAGTACAGCGGCAGATCTGCCTCTGAATTACTCGTTCTATGTTAAGCAAGCGCACAGCTATATTCTACGTGCAAAAGTGCAATCAGTTTCCTGACATAACCAACAGTGGGAAAATACGACAGAAATACATAATAAAAAAGAACAACAACTAGAAGCAGCATGCCACAAATCTCACAGCCTGCAGTACTTTCCTAAAGCCTGGTTCTTGAAGTCCCGTGCCATAGGGATCCATGTGTGGAATGACAGCTTTCAACAGATAAAATATTTTCTTCTCATTCTTGCAGAACAAAAAATCTATGAAAATGTGAACAACAAACACCTGCAAGTTTCAGATACAAAACATTACAAACATATTACTAAAAATCAGAGGTTTTAAAGACAATGGTCCCAGTGAAGAAACACTTTAAAGTTTTTAAACAATTTGTTCTCAATATTGTACTAGTGATCTTAGTAAACATCACTATTGGAAGAGGTATCTACTTGATTTTATACAAATCAAACTGCCCAGCACAGTCACCTTCAAGAGTTGTTTAATCTAACACAAGTAGTGGAATAAAACCTACTCCCCAAAGCCTTTTCTGCATTACAGGCACCTCACTCAATTTTGGAAGGAAGAAGGCTTTTTATTTACACAGTTCAATGAAAACGGAATTCTAGTCATCAAGTCTATTATTCACTGGATGTTCTTGTAAACCACATTTCTATAATGAGTATGTGTTTCACTGCTCATCATATTAAAAATCTGTTACTGAGATTCCAGACACAAAACTCCTAGCAATGAGGAGATTCTCCTAAAATTACATGAAATTACATCTTCTCTCATGTGAATACTCTCCAGAGGTGGACTGAACTCAACAAAGATATGCAGAACCAAAATCAATTTATACATATATTTAAAAAAAAATAAAAATAACAGTAGTTATTTTATATAAATAAAAAATACGGTGGTGAGGCACTGGCACAGGTTGCCCAGAGAAGCTGTGGATGCCCCATTCCTGGAGGTGTTCAAGGACAGGTTGGATGGGGCCCCAGGCAACCTGGCCTGGTGGGTGGTGTCCCTGGCAGGGGGTTGGAGCTAGATGGGCTTTAAGGTCCCTTCCAACTCAAGCCATTCTAGGATTCTATGATTTTATTCCAGTAAAAGTACAGTGATCATCTACTTTTGCTATCCCTTTCCTAAAACAACAGCATGATGGAAGGTAATAAAGGGAACGACTGGTTGCAGGCATCCAGGGACATTTTGGGACTCTAAATAGCAAGGGTTTGATGCAGGCATTGAGATTTGGCTTCAGTTTCTTCAGCTCAGCTTTAGGAGAACTGAAAGACCACTTGAGGACAAACCCCTGTAAGCATCACCTTACAGAAGTCTCCTCCCCACCAGTTCCATCCAGCATATTTTACCATGGAAGAGAGAGACAGAGTTGTGCCTGTTACCCCAGCAATGTCTGCCAGATACATTGATACTCAGTAGAATTGTGTAATCACATCACACGTACAAAGAAACATTTGGACAGAATAAATGTGTCCCACATGTCAGGAGCCCCACTTAATACAACCAATAACATGTCTGGGAATAAAAGAGCAAACTGCAGTAGTTGGCCTCAGGGACTGCAAAGGCCTGAGTAGTACTTACTGGCAGTGGCTTCCAGTCCTTGTCATGGGACTAAATCTGGGAACACACACAAAGTTGTGCACATTAGATGATACCTCAGCATGATCTCCTCAGAGAGGAAGCCAATTACAAGCTTCCCCAGTGCAGGAGGGCAGCAAGCAGCCAATATAAATGGTTCCAATCCTGACTGTTCTGATGAAAACACAGATGTTTTGTTCTTGATGTGACATAAATAAGGTCAGAGCAAAAGACTTTATCATCAGTGAGCTACTGGCTCCATGTAACGCACCCGTGATCCATCCTGGAACAATTAAGTTCATGCAATACACCTCAGTTCTGTATTTCTATCCGAACCTCCATTTTAGCTAAGAGACTTTTAAAAACAAATTATAACTGGCCAATTCCTTGCTGATAATACACCTGCAGATGCTGAAGAGTAATTTTATTCCAGCAGAGTTATTACTGCAGAATGCAAATGTTTCCTTATGGTGTGCCTGCTCTCATCACTGATTGCTGTCAATCCTGATCACTCTTAGCCACAGCAAATTTACATTACCAGTCCCATCCTAGGTCACGACATCTTCCTTAAGAGGGCCTTCAAAAATGCAGTGGGTGTATAAAAGACTAGAAAGCAATGTGCAGTAGGGCAGTTCTCACTGGAAGCATTAGCTCTGTCTGTAACCGTGGAGCTTAAAATAAAAACAGAACTCATGAAACGCTGTTCCTGGTGAGCATGGCAATGTCAGAAACCCTGCCTGTTCTGTTTACCAGATCCAGGTTTAGAAAAGAGAAAAACAAAGAAACAAAAAATCCCTCACAAAGTCTTTTCATGTCAGCAGTGACTTGAAGAGTGCACCTCCCAGGACGCCCGTTCCAAGGGGGGTAACAGACCTCCTTCCTTCTCCGCCCCACTCCCTGAGAATAGTTTGTCCGATTCATTGCGCCTTTTTGCATACATCGCAACTTCGCTAACGATGATCAGATCAGATCACTTCAGGTGTGCTCGCGGGCAGCCCGGGGAATTCCTAGAGAGACTACAAACGTTTGTACGCCTCGTGGCTGCTCCTTCGGCCAGCCGCAGGCAGGAGCATCCTCCTGCCTCTGAACCAGCAGCCTCGCGCCCTGCGCAGCGCCGGAGACGCCCGTCCAGTCCCACCCCGACCCGTCCTGTCCCGGACACCCCCGAGCCCCCTTGCCCGCAGCGGGGAGGGGTCTCCGGCCGCGGGCGTGCCGGTGGCCTGGGGGCTGGAAGTGGGAGGGAGCCGGGTCGGAGGGGGGCACGTCCCGGGAGAGGGGTGGGGAGAGCCGGCGGCGAACCGGGCTGCGCCGCAACGCCCCTCGCTATAAAGCCGGGGGCCGCGCAGCAGAGCGAAAGGAGTGGTGCGGCCGGGGAGGGAGAGCGCAGCGAGCCTAGTCACGGGGCTGTCCCGTCCCGTCCCGTGGCGGCCAGCCGCCGCCGCCGAGCCAGGTAAGGCAGCCCCTGCGGGCTGGCCGGGAGCGTGCTGCTGGGCCCCGGGGGAGAAAGGCGTCTGGAGGTCGGGGCGCTGCGTCCTGCTGCTCCCCCGCTTTGCTCCTTCGTAGGTGGCGGGGCAGGCTGCCGGCAATTAAATCGGGGCGGCTTGCACTTCGAGACCCACTCGCTAAGCCAACACCACGCGTTTGTCTTGGTTTTGGAGACGGATAAAGGTCCCCCACATTCACGACCGTGCCCTTTGCGTGAGCTCTACTGGCGTGCACCAGCCTGAAGGCAGAGCAAAGGCAACCTTGGCAGAAGGTGCGGTGCTGGGAACAGTCACCTCCTTTCCCCAGTGAGGTGACTCCGCAAGCCCGCAGCAGCCAGCTCTTCCCTCTGGGCAAGATCAGAGGAGCACTTGAAGTTTTCATTACTGTGCTAAATCCGTGAGATAAATTAATCAAAAATCACTGAAAGCAATGCTGATTAATTTTTAGACTTGTGCAAACATTTGTTTTCTTAATTAATAAATAAAATGTAGCAGCCAGGCGATACAACTTCCACCAGTTAGCAACTGGTACCTGTTTCATCAAAAATGGGGTAGCATGCTGTCTCTATAACCAGACTTGTCCCTTAGCCAGCTCCCCAACTCAGCTTCAACTCATAAAACTAAATTCAATATGTTCGTTGACCTTTATAGGTGAAATTCTGTAACACTTACTGTCCTCCTATTCTCCATCTGTTAAAAATATTAAGTTATTAGCAGCTAATTACAGATGCAGAAGCAAACCAACAGCTAGATCACAGTATATATGAGCATTAATTTGCAGGATTCAATCTTGCCAACGTGTATATTTCTACAAACCCACTGGAATTAATGAGTTGTATGGCAATAAATGACAGCAGGACTCTGTCCAAAGCATTCTACAGCTTGCTGTAAATTTCCATCACTTCCATAAGCAGCACTATGTATCTCAAGTGTGCGGTGTGACATAGCATGAGGCAGTCAAGTAAATGGACCCAGTAAAATCACAAGCATCAAGAAGGGATGAAAGGCTTTTTGTTTATTTGGAGGCAGGGAGGGGGGAAGCAGGGTCTGTCATCTTTTTTTTTTTTTTTTTTTTTTTTTACTTACATGAACCTGCACCACTAATATGATTAGATTTTTGCCTGTACAAGGAGAATTGAGCATGGCCTGAAGGCCTGAAGTAGGTTAATTACCATGGTGATTTAGAAGGGCTCTGCTAGCTCTGGTTTACTGCCTGACAAATGTTTCATGCTCCTGACTTTGGCAGCTCATTTTGCTTGTTGCCATCATAATCTCTTAAATTACAGTATCTTTCAAAACCATGAAGTGCCTACAAAAATAAGCTCTCATTCATATATTAAGAACTTAAAGAACGTTAGCAATGTGCCTTTCCAGCAGGAATGTGGTGTTTCTGTACACTTCTCTCTACAGCTTGAACTACATAGCAGAGAAAAAACAGTGATTTCTATGGTGTGCTTCCTAGTTTATTACTAAACTGAATAAGCAAAGTGGTCCTGTACAATTGAGAGATGGAAGTCATCTTTGTCATGAAGAGTTGGTTTTATTCTCCCCTTACTTTTGCCAAGGTAATAGATGGAAAGAATTAATTCCTACACTGGAGTAGGTAGAAGTGGACCCATTTCCAATGATATGAGATGTCCTGCCTTCCTGCTTGGAAAAAAATACCTTGCTTGGGTTGGACAGCACATGCAAACTGCAACTAGAAGCTACTGCCTTAAAATACAGCAAATACCAGCCTGAAATGCTAGTATATACAGCACTGCAGAAGTGAGGAGAGCGCTGCCTTTCAGTTTAAAATGTCACAGCTCCACAACCTGTTTAGGACAAGAAGGTGCGAGATTTGTAGGTGCTCCCTGGTGAAATATTACCATTTTTAATTATGTTCAATATCTAAAAAGATCTGGAAGTGCATCTCATTTCTTTTGCTACTACTTGGAGTACTACTACAAATGCACAACCAAAGATGATTTATTTACACTTTCCAGAATACTCTCAAAACAGAGACTGTGTTTGCAGACATGGAGATAGGAATTGGAGAGGGTCAAATGAAAATTTTCATTTCAGATAGTGGGTAGCCAGTGCATTTTCCTACACTTCTAGGTTTTCTCCGATGCAGTAATTTTGTTCTGTTTTCTATAAGGGAATGCATTTAGGGAGTTCTCTTTTCTTTCACTTCTATGGTTCCTTACTACAGCTCCACTGATTAATGTGGTAGCTTAAAGTTTTGCATAAATCACAAACTCACAGTCCCAGTTAAACTCGTATTTATGCAAAAAGTATAGTCTTGATTGAAAATGTTTCAAATAGTTACAGATTGCTCTCATTTGCTCACTCCCTCTCCTTTCCCTTGGATGTCCAGAAGCTACTAATGTCACCAGGAGTATTCATAATCTCCCTTGGGTCTACTACTGTCCAAATTTTAAGCATCTAATCACAATGAGAACCACCCAATTGTTTGAGTCACTGGCATGCATCTCTGTGTCTGATGCTTCAGGTGTCCTTTTCTCCCTTAGAAGCTTCATGAAAAGTCAAATTTTGTCACACGTTGGGTAGAGAACATGGATATTTGTCTATTATTTTAACCTACTATTATGTTAGACTCACTCTACTTGGTTAATCTTGTGTGTTGTTTTTTGTTGTTGTTGGTTTTTGTTGGTGGTTTTTTGTTGTTGTTGGTTTTTTTAAGCAGAAGTCAATAGTTATTTTTCTTACAGGAGTCACCTCTATAAAAGGAGAAATAGTCTACATTTTAATCTGAATGTATTACACCTAAAGCTGAGCTGGGGACATAGGTTATTAAGATTCATTGAGATATGAATAGATGGTATATTAGATATGCCAAAGCAAGTGACCAAATGGATAAGCAAAATAAAACTGTCACCTACCTGTGACAGGAATACCAGCAATCAATCAACATGCATCCTCTGGCAACCAAAATGCTAACCTAAAGAGAGGTCCAAACAAAACACCCACAGTTTCCTTAGCTATAATGAAGGGAGCTTGGACAGGTCAGTGAAACAGCACAGACTGTGTGAAAGAGACTGTTGGGTGGGGAATTATTTGCTGGGGAATTGGATCAGACTGATTCCAACAAATGACAGAGCAGAAAGGCAAAAAGGAAGTCAAGTAAGTACCAGCATTCCAGCATTAATTCTTCTGGACTCCAAGACTAGCTAAAGGGTAATTGCACTTCAGACCCCTTGCAAATTCTTGCATCCATTCATTTTAAACCATTTATCTGCAGAAAGTATAATCTGAGAATTCTTTCAGTCTTCAAACCTGGGAAGGCTTCCAGCTGCAGGAACAGGGACAGGGCAGCATAAGCCTGCCTACTACAGGCACATGGCAGTCTACTTGCGTTGCAGACTCTTACTGCGTGTTTATCAAAATAACCTTTAGGTAAACTTGTTTCAGTTTTTAAGCCTTACCTAGCTTACTGCTGATGTCTGTGCCTCATGCTCTCAGTTGTGCAACAATTCTATCAGAAATGTGCTGGTCATTTGCACTTATGTTGTGTTCTGCCCTGTGTTCCTCTGAAATGTTAATTAGTAGTTTTGCAGTATTGGGTAGTAACTCTGACTTTTGACAGTTCTTCCTTAGGGAAATTGTAGCATTTTTAAGAAGTCAGCCTCTGTTACTATCCGGTTTGAGAAGCTAGGTGAAAGAAAATTGCCAAGCAATTGTAGAGACATTTTTAGTATTTTATAGAATTCTGAAGACAAAATGGAAAATGTGTTGCTTATGAGAAGAGGGAAGAGTGGAAGGAAGTCTTTCCCTATTTTACTCATGTAGGGTTAGCTTCCACCACCCTAACAGGAATAAAGTGTTGCTCTTGGTGAGAACTGAACCCATGCTACTTATCAAGACACTATGTAGGAAGGTTCCATTCTGAAATTGTTACTATTTTTCAGGTGAGTCAGAGCAGTTCTGGAATGAAAATTTTATGCAAAGTTGAAATTTTTGCACATACTCACAAAGTGAGCTTAAATGCATTTGAGAGTTTTAAGTAGACACAACAGGATTTTCTCTTAGAGCTTAAGAGTGTATAGACTTCATGTAGGTGGTCCAAATACTGCATCCTGAAGATCAGAAAGGTTTCAGCGAAGCTGTTTTGCCATATACAACTGCTATTGCAGAGTAAGTTCCTAATCGTGTTATCATTTTGCACCTCCTCCTTCTGGTCTTAAAAATTCTACAGTGAAAGCAAGCCAGTAAGCTTTTGGTAACCACAATATTTCTTTCAGTTCACTCTCCGTCAACAATAGATCACTTTCAACAATACAGAGTCATTGTACTCAGAGCACTCATACTATGTTCTATACCATGTTCTAAAACTTATTGTTTGCCAAATTAAAAAATTGACAGACGTACTCTAGAAGCTTGTGTAATTTTTGAACATTTTGGGGGATTTAACAAAACCAGCAAATAGGAGAAGTTATGGTGCTTGCTTTTTTTTTTTTTTTTTTTTTTAACCTTAATTGTAACAGGCAAGTGAAGAGAGGCTATCTTTACTGTAAATCCTAACAGCTGTGATTGTTTGAGACTGCACATAAAATAGAATGGCTGGTCTAATCATTTACTGACTTATCCTCAGATAAATTATAGATTAGACTAAAATTACTTTGAGCTTTCAACTGAATTGCAACTAAGAGTAGGAAAACATGCTCAGAATGGCATGCTGTTACTATTCTCTGTTGCACTGCCTTCTGAAAGAACTACAGATTTGGGGCTGTCAAGCATCTTTTACTATTTTCATTCCATTTGGTTTTTGCTTGATAGCAAAACTGTCCAGGTATCTGCTATATAACAACTCTGGCTAGAATGCTTGGTTACTATTTGTGGTGTTTATCTGCTTTTATTGTAGTTGAGTAGCATTTCTCTTATTACCTATTTTCTATGCCTATAACAGAAGACTATCTCACAGCAGGAAAGAACAATCAGATTGGCAATGCATCACTGAATGGCATGACTGAAGACAAGACAAAAAGTGGGTAACACAAGGTAACATTGGCAATATTTAAAGCAACTGGTATTGAATTTGGGGAAGGTCAATACTTAGACAGTATTTCACTGTTTGAGGTGAAGGCTTTAATTAGAGTTAAGGCCAGAACAAAGAATGATTTAACCAAATGCCTAATTTCACCTATTTAATCTGTTCCTTTATTTCTAGGTCATAAAAAAAATATCTGATACTGATCAGTTGTTTCCTATTGGTACCTAATAATCAGTAGATGAAATACAAGAACAGAAATGTAAGATAGAACAGCATAACAGCATTTCTGAGTCCTCTCAGTTCTCTGAAAATTGGGAGGGAATGTGAGTACTGTGCCTCAGCATTTCAAGCTCAGAGGACTCATGCAAATAGTAAAACATTCCGGAAAACCACTGAACAGCTGTACTTTTATGTTGGGGGGCTTACACAAGGGAGAAAAATGCACTAGTTGACTTCTCTAAAAATGTTCTATTGGCAGTTATCCTCCATTTAACCCTGCATTGTCACAGCCTGGGCAGACCCTTTGCTTAAAGCAGCCAGCGCATGATGTACAAGATGCAAACTGAACTTGTTTATTTAGAAACCATGCATGTCCCTCCCAAACTGAGTTTATAGGAGTATGTATGTCTTCCTTTCATCTTTTTGTCTTTAAAAAAAAAAATGCCTTTTTGTCTTATATTCTGTTTCCCATAACCTCAGACAATTTTCCTTCTTCCCCTGCCTCCTTGTCTCCCCTTATGGGCCCAATAGCTAGTCTGATACCATTCAGTTTCTGGTAGTTGCGCAGGATTTTGTTCCTCAGGTTCTTTCCGTTAGGTGTAACAATCAGGGAAAATATGGGGCAGGAAGACGCTTGTTTTCAAAGTAAAACTCTAGCTTTGCTGCTGGATATGTCCCTGTTTTACTATTGACTTGGTTATTAGCCAACATCAGCTTTGCTAATCTTAGCAGATTACCATAGGACAGTTGCAGTTCTTGCTCAAATCAGGCTTTCATTTAAGTAAAGGACATTTCTTCACCCATATGCTTTCAAAAAAGCTCTTGAAGAGACAAGGGCCCTAAAATACTTTTGATTTAAATATTGGTATTATCATGCTGCTCCATTTCACCAAGTGCTCTGAAGTATACAGTGAAAAAGTCATGTCAGTACAGGGCAGCCACATACCCAAGGATGTTCTCACTTCAAACAGTAATATTCCTAGCACTGAAGTAAAGCTCACGTGGCACCTTTTGGAGGGCACAGTGCTACACCTCCCAAGCATCTTTGCAGTCACCTGTGCTTGAGAATCAAGAGTGCACTTGACTCAGGATGCACTGATTCACAACACCTTAGGTTAGCTTTGTGTGGTTTTGTGGATTTATTTGTTGTAACATTGTTTTCGTTTTTTCTTTTTGGAGAGCGTGGGGAGTGGGGTGATGGAACTGACATGCTCAAGAGATCATATAATACAAGGGCATTTCACCTTTTTGGGTTTTACCATCCTTCTTGGTTTTGCTAGCTGTATTACTGGCCCTTGGTACCCACAGGAGAAGTCTCAGAGCCAGGATGTTAAAGAGTTCACTGATTAATTTTATTTTCAAAATAGACCAATAAATTTTACTTTGATTAAAAAACAAACAAAACAGGAAACAAGCTATACACATTTGGCAGAACATCTATCTTGCTATCATTCTATTAAGTGTGCTGCTTTCCAGACAAAGCACTAGGGATTGCAATATCTGCTTTTTGCATGGGCAGTAATATCTTTCACACTGACTTGAATTAAGGTGTCTGTATTTGAGCTTTCATTCTCTGATTAACCCCTTAGTACCTCAGTAGTCCAACTGACATGTGTCAAAATCACAGGTTCATTGCTTGTCTTTATATTTGGCTACTCATTGAATTTTCACCTAGTCCTTATAATGATGTGCCCTTAACAGGAGTTTTGTTTAAGTGAAATCACAATTGGTTCTCTATGTTTTCCATGTTATGCTTACTAACAGTTACAATGCTACTAATTTATCTAGGGCTTAGCAGCATTACCCTTTTAAAAAGACTATTTTTTGTCTGAGTGAACTCTTGTACTTTACCAGTTACTGTTTTCTTTCAGTTACCAGTTGCTGTTTTCTTTCCTTTCTGCCTTTGGTTTCCCTTTTCTGACCCTAATGAGGTATTCATTAGGAAACCTCCATGCTGATCTTTTTCTTTTAATCTTTTAATCTTTTAAATTTCTCCCTCCAGGCTGTTACTTACATTCTCATTTTTTAAAAAAGGCTTTTCTGAGGCATAGTGTCATAATGCAGTATTTTCCTACCAAAAGAATATCTAAATTAATTATATAACAGAAAAATAATCAAGGGTCTCAATCGGACCCAGTGAAACAAATCCTGTTACATAGCGTTGAATTATGACACATGGAAAACAAAGCTGCTTTTGAATGAGGGCATTGAAATCTAACATCTATTTCCTTACACAGAAATTTACAATACACTTGCTTTCACTTTATAAGTTCTCCAGTAGGACAAACACTATTTTTCACAGTGAAGTCAAAAAAAAAAAAAAAAAGTATTCAACATGGGATTTGTTTTTCCCCAGAGCCATGTCTTGATTAGCAGGAAGCTGTGTGAAAGTCACCAGCCATGGTATCAGAAATGTAGTGCTAGATCTTCCACGTTAGATGGCTTAATTAACATGACATATTTTAGTGACATTGATAATGTCCATGTCCACATATGAATGCTGCATCTGCATGAGTGTTTATTTTTTAGCAAATGTTTTCATTACTCAAGCAAAAGTTTCTATCAGTCACTTTAACCACTGATGATAGGTAGGAAACAGGGATGTGATTTGTCAGAGCTTTTTAGTGAGAGTATATTAGATAAAAACATGCAAGTTTTTTTCCCCCCTTCTTCCACTTTTTGACAGATTAGCTGTTGTTGCAGGTGAAAATATCTGTACTACATAAATAATGTATTTCTCAAACTTGAAAACTCTTCACTGGCTTGTTATTCATTAACTTACACTTGCCTTCTGTGTTTGCAGGGGAAAAAGTAAAAATAAGACGCACAACCTGCAGAAGGGTCTGTGTGTTAAACTTGTAGAGCTCTTAGGTGCCTCATGGCCCATTTTGGTGATTTAGTTCACGGCAGGAAAAAGTCCTCTTGAATGTACAGGTGAAGCCTCACACACATTAGATATTTCCATGCATGTTAGAACGTTATCAATGTGCCACACAACTTGGAGCAAATTTATGCACCTTCCTTACTGTTTTAAAAGTACATACAGAAAGGCTGTTCTTTATACCAGTTCCTGGTACCAAAAAGAGTAACTATCTTGCAGAGTTTACTGCTCATCATACTTAATATCTCACTTTTAACTAAAGAAAACTGTTCAGGAGCTTGAGTTACATATATAGTGTTAACTTTTACCTCTTCATCTTCTAGTTTAGCAGAACAAGAGCAGAACATGACAGTGGGAGAGGGACTACCAGAGAAGCCTCTATTTGCACTAACCTATAATCCCACAAAGAAGCCCCATCACCAATTGTCTACAAAGTTATTAGCTGTGTCCCCTGCCCTTCCTCCTGCAAACATCTAGAGAAAGCAACAGAAACCTAATTAGAATATCCCTTTCAGTAGTTTTGTAGTAGTAACACCACTGATTTTGAGCTGCTTCCTTCACAGTAAATAAAACTAGAGATCTCAAACCTTGTACCTTGATTAAAAAAGAAAATAAAAGAAAAAACTTTTCTCCTAGAAAGACCATTTACTTTACAAGGAAACAACTGCAGCTCTGCCTTTCTATTCTGTTCTCTAACGTGATCTCTGCCACTGACAGAGAAGATGCCCACAGCAAGATGCAATCACTGTCAGTATGTCACTCGTGCATTAGACATTTTAGAATATTATTTTTAATTTAGATGCATGAATTCTAATTTTCTGCTAAATTATCAACCACCACTAGTTTGAAGTCAGCAAATTTTACTTATTTTTGCCCATGGGCTGGTAAATATACACTTAATTACCTCAGTCAGTAGTACCCAGACTTTCACAGAGTAGACCAGAGTAGACCCTCTTATAGCCATTCCTAATCTGGCTATACTGCTTTTTTTTTTTTTTTCAGCTTCCATTTAGTAATACTTGTCTTCCATCATGTGATGATCCATGCCATTGTTATTTTATCATTCTTTGCAGAATTTAAGAGACGTTTTATCCTTTACCACCTTTTTTTTTTCTCCCTTGAACCAAAATCAGAAGAGTCCAGGGTTTCACCACATACTACATGTATATTTAATTTCACACAAGTTATCTAGCAGTACAACTAGGCTTAATAAACTAAAAGATATAACCATTAAAAGACATAGCCATTTACCTTGTCATTGACTCATGTCAATTAATAAAAGCTGAAGATGTAGAAAGTCTTCAGTGTGGGGGGCAGGGGAGTCTGGAAGAGACCTGCATAGCTGTTACTTTCTCACAGCCCATGTTTGGGAGTAACATTGTATTCCTGAGGAAAAAAATATTAATTGTTACAGAAATTGCTCTGGCTAACAGCCACGTTAAATGATGCACATTTCTAATATTTTAGACTTTAAAGTGTTAAGGTTTATATGCAGCAAAAACTGTTAGGAAGAACCCATGCATACATGTACCTTCTTCGTGTCCTGGAGTCAGTTTGGGAATAACAGTTTGTGAGCAAGAAATCTCCATGAGACACTAACATTTTTGATTTCAATTCAACGAGCCTTAGTCTGTGTGAGTAGCTGTTACTCTCAAGGCTTCAAAGCATCACCATAACTGTGATCATCAAAAAGATAAATCCCAGAATGCAAATTACCTCTAAAGTGGCAAAGACTTCATTTGACTCACGAAAAGAAAGATTTATGTAGCACTCCTGAGGTTCCTAACTTCTCACCCCTTTCTGCTGTATAAAATCAATTTCTATATTCTGTGAATTTTCCTTGTGTGTTTTAACAAATGAAGAGCTACCTCTTTTCCTACCAATATTGATACATCAGGTCCATTCAGC